CCCCCCCCCCAATTAACTTTTGAATGCCTGAACAGATTTTATGGAACCCGGTATGTATATCATGGCACCTGTACCCATCTCAACAGCGTAATTCATAAATAGTTTCCATCAGTATGTGTGTTTGTATGTGTATATCCCTATCGATGCTAGGCAATGGCTCGGTAAACACGTTACCGCTGCAACGAATACATGCAACAATATAAGAATTGTTAAACACGTGTGTTTGTGTAGCCCCCTATTGTTGCTAGGTAACGACTCGTTAAAGACGTTTCCGTAGCAACGAAAAATTGTTGGAGGCGTTGTCTCTATGCTGTCCGTGCCGTATCGAAGAAATTAAGGGATTAGTTCTTCCCAGAACTTGTTTCAAGATAACGCAAGTAAGCTAAATTAACCACGTTTTGTATCCAGTGCACTTTTTCAGTAAGTCGTGCAGTTGTCGAAATATTTAAAGCGAAAGATTGCAAAGAATTGCTGTGCTGCGCATGCGTTATGTCCTGTGACGCCAAATATACGGGTCAACTGTCACTGTTGCCATTTAACCTCTGCAGCAGAAAAAATCACGCACGGATCGGTTGAGCAGTTGCACAAAATAAGAGACTCATCTGAGTTCATAGGAATTCAGATGAATCAGTAGCCATATTGTTGAGTTGGCTGCCTCCCTCCCGAAATATGACTGGTAAAATGTTTCATAAACCTGATTAACGTACTTATCAAAGTAAGGAAACTAGGCTAAATATAAAAAGAGGCTTAGGAGAGCACCTTCTTGTTTGTCTATTCCCCTTAACAAGTTTTTGAATACATTGTGACATGGCGCCAAAAGTGACGGCCTTTGCAAGGCAACGGCTCGGTGAACACATTCCAGCGGCAACAAATACTCTCGCAACAATAGAATTGTTGCACGCTGTTTCCTATGCAGTCCGTGTTTTCCCCAGAACTTGTTTCGGTTTGTAGTTTATATAGAGATGCTGTCAGTAGTTCAGCTTGTGTAACGTCGGATGGTTGGATGATTAATGAAGTGGAACGGATTTGGAAGGAAATGGTGGTTTAATTGTAAGACACCGCGATTAGGCAACGACCGTTTCTGTCTAAATCCTTTTCTGTCATTATGCGCCGGTCATTCCATTATTCGACAGTATATAGTCAGAGAAACAGGGTTCTGAATGGCAAAGTAGGTGGTATATATAGAAACCGCTATGCTTGGACGGGTTAATATAGTGCTCACCTATTTCACAGAATTTTAATTTTAACAAAAAGGCTAAAGCTATCCCTGTAACAGACCGTGGAGGCCCATAGGGTTGTGAGACGTCGAGGCTCATACATTTTCTAGACAATCGGCTCACAGATGGCGGTGACGTCAGCCTTACGCGCCGGGCGCCCTTTACCCCGCCCAGGAAGATTCCTAGTACTCATTTCTGTTAGAGGTTGAGTCGACCCCAGGGCCATGGCTGGAAGGGTTAGGTAAATTGAAGAAAAAAAATCCAGTGTCCTCATCGGGAATAGTACCCGCGACTTTCCGGCTTGTGACCCAGTGCCTCTACCAACTACGCTATCGCCCCCCCCCCCGTGATGACATGGGTTACACAAATATGTTGGTCGGGAGCTCCAGGTCTTTATCTTCTCTTATCTCTGTTTGTTGAACGTTTGAGTATCCATTTTGTTTTCTAGTTCATTGACAGTTCATGATATTTCCACAGCCGTTCCTGATTTCAGTCGATAGTTCATCATTGCCGCCCATGCGCACCATCTACAGCGGGCCGGGTTTCTCAGCGACTTTTGTTAAGCAGGAGTCGGTAAAGCAACGTTTGATTCTCGGCGGCGCAAGATTGTTCTCTCCTCTACTGTGACCGGCGTGTATAAGAATTCAGTTCGTACCTCACAGGAAACAGATCCGAACCCACGATCCCGGCTTCCGAGCGAGCGAAGACAGTACATGCCTTAGACCGCTCGGCTACCGTGACCGGCAGTGTATAAGAATAATATATAAGAATTCAGTTCGTACCTCACAGGAAACAGATCCGAACCCACGATCCCTGTTTCCGAGCGAGCGAAGACAGTACATGCCTTAGACCGCTCGGCTACCGTGGCCGGCTTCTGTATCAATTACTAACGATTATTGTCCCGGAAACTGTGTACAAGGAGACCCGGGCAGAACTTACAAGGCCTGCTGCCAGTCTTACAAATCTGGTCTTGTTAAAGTCTTATTTAGGCAATGTAAATTTATTGTGTAGTAATAAAATGCAATTTTGTTCATGGCCCATCACGCACGGATACAGATACATTGGAATGCTCGTCACGTGTTGTTGCTGCTTGCATTCGTAAATGTGTTGCTAGTTGTCATTAGAAACGCCATCATCTGTACGCATGTCCGTGATCTGTCTTGAAACAAATATTTCAAATGCCTGGCTTCCATGGTTCATTAGTTATCACCATCATACTGAAAGTTAAAGACAATTTTCGCACGCCCGCCATGTTAGTTTTATAGTATTAAGAGAAACCTTAATAATAGCTGGATACTAAGATCTCTGCCATAAATTATTTGAAGAACCTTTAGATCTATTGAGTGGCAATTCAGTTGTATCTGTCTCACAAGTTCGCACGTCCGCCATGTTGTAATTATCGCAAGGAATTAAAAATTACTGTTATGTTTGCGTCTAATGGTATTTTGGTCATATGGGTCAAGAGTTAAATGGGGTGTATACAAACAATCATCGTAGTTATCCCACTGGGCTGCCTTCTTTCCTTAAAGAAGGTGAGTAGATTAAGGATCAGATGGGTTGGTATGGATTGGATTGATCTAGCTCGGGATAGTGACCGCTGGAGGGCTCTTGTGAACACGTTAATGAACCTCTGGGTTCCATAAAATGCTGAGAAGTTCTTGAGTAGCTGCACAATTGGCAGCTTCTCAAGAAGGGCTCAGCTCCATGAGTGATATAGGAATAAAAACGAAATGGGTGCTGTTTGTGTCACTGTGAAAACAAGAACGGAAGAGATGTTTAATAATTCGTAGCAGGAAATATTTCATTAAATTCACCGGGACGGTTGGTATCACTTCTTTTTGGTTAGCAAAATTCTGTTGTAAACTTGGCACCACGCAGCAGACGGTTCACTGTCCTGGGTTCAGGGGAATTGTCGAAGAACTTCGATTCAGGAACGTCTCAATGGAAGAATGTTTTAAATCATTACGGTAGAGCCTCCTCATGATGAGTCAGTATTATTTTAAGGAAGTGCAGTGTCAGTGCTCTGTTTGTTTTATTGAAACTTCATTTTGTAGGGGCCACGTTACAGTTGCGTTGTTGAGCGAACGTTGAACACTACCCACTTCCCTTTTCCTTTGCAATACGGTCAGACCGCAGACTTGAAACATAGTATGTTAACGGGTCGTAAGTCGAGCTCGTTATAACAAGTAACTCAAGGCTCAGACAAATTTCTAACTTTATAGCCCCTGTTATCATAATTCTGTTGTTTTTTTTTTATTAAGTAAATCGAAAATAGGACCTCCAGTAATATACTTATTATATTCTGTCAAGAAACCCGAGATTAATGGCCGTAGGGATCCGTTGCGCTGACCGCGTGACACCCTCTATCCGCAGAAGTTGGCACTAACTTCGCCGACAAGCGGCGGTTGTCCGGTCGGTATAGTTCGCTTG